ATACATTTGTTTTGCATATGTCTCGTTTTTTTCTATTAATCAGAGGTAATTAGAGAAATGTCAGGCTTGTTTAACGCAAATACGAATATAGACACGTATTTTGCATTGCTTAACCTGCCTATAAAAGTAAACATTCTACGACAAGAAGATTGCTGTACATTTAGTTTTTGTTTGCGTTAAACAAGCCTGACACTTCCCTAATTACCTATGATTAATAGATAAAAATGAGACATATGCAAAACAAATTATACAAGGATTTGATATAATCTCAATGTAAGCGAAGTTATAATTTGCAACGAATATGTTATTATAATTTTGCACAATGTCGGCAACGCAACAGTTCGATACAAAATACGAAAATATCGAAAATGTAGAATTATAACGCGATAAAAGACGCTGCCGCGAGCAAAGATGATGAAACAAAAAAATGCAACTGTAACGTCCAGGCCACCAAAAACTTTAAAACTTTCGCGGCACTATAATATTAAAAGGCCATAGTGGCCATTGGCCGTTTTGTGCTAACTGAGTAATAACATAAGTAGTATTTTAAGCGAAAACCTATTTTAACAGCGGATTTAATAATTCAATTGTTAAAAAGGGCCGAGATTAAATTATAAAATCGTCAACAGTACAATAAAAGCACTCTAGTATGATAATATATCATTGCAATTAATGGGGAAGTATAAAAGGCCATACATAACAACAGAATTATTAATACAATTAGAATAATATAAAATATTCGCGTTGCGAACTCGCATGGACACGTACGAACGATAACAAAATGACATCATTGCGTCGCTATGCATCACGTGTAACGTCCCCGCCCTAAAAATCTCTAAATTTTCACGCCGCTAGATATTGCATTAACCCGAGGCCGATTTATGCTAAACTGAGAAGTAGACTGTAAGATATTTCATTTCAGCCGCGAATTCTACTAATTCAATCGTCAGAGACGGCTTAAACTAAAATTACATAAAAAACAGGTAACAGCAGTCCTTCTGTAGACTTCAATCCATTAAGGGAAATATAAATCATCATCTAATAATTAGCCGATGGAGAGCCATACGTGACGAACGGAATAGTAAAAGTATATTTTGTAACGAACTGTATAGAAGCATACTCCACCGCTGTTAGAGTTAAGAGACTGCAACTTTTGTACGCACATATAGCATAAGAATATTCGCGAGACGAACTCGCTTAGGTACGAACGTTCGACGTGACATCATCGCGACGCTACGCATCACGCCACCGTGAACGGCGTCCGGTCCCCCGAGCTTATCGGAGAGATAAGCCGAGGCGTAGAGACTTCCCTTTGCAACCGGCCGACTCGAGACCACCGTGCCTCTACGGAATTAGGCGCTGCGGCCCGACCGCCGTCGGAAACCGTCGGAACCGTACGAAGCTCCCGCTGGAGCCCTATAAAAGGGCGCGCTCCCGGCGCGCTCCGCACTAGCTGTTCGAGCCCCCCTCAGAGTACCATCCGTCACTGTCCGAGGACATCATACATCATACATTCT